GGTTCGAACGAGCGGGAAAAGAGTTTATGATCGCAAAATTAAATATTTTAATGATTAGTTGGAAGAGAATGGTTACATATAAAAATGTTTAAATAAATTAAGTGCGTAAGACATGATGAGTGCGATCATAACTATAGTAATGCATAGAATCCCATTAGAACCCCTCAGTGAAGCGTGCTTGGGTGAGCGTAGTACTAGGATAGGTGACCTCCATTGAAGTCTTCGTTGCACCACTTTTTTTTTCAAAATTCTATACTTTATCCTAATTTTTGGTGTTATTTTTTAAAAGAGCTAGGGTGAAAGGAGTGGTAAAAAGAGTTGGGGATCACATAATTAAATATTTTAAGAATTAGTTGGAAGAAAATGCTTACTTGGAGAAGCATTTATTTACATTAAGGGCGCAAGACATGGTGGGTGTGATCATAACAATAGTAATGCATCGGATCCCATCAGATCTCTACATTTAGGCGTGCTTGGGCAAAAGTGGTACCAAAATGGGTGACTTCCTTGGAAGTCCTCATGTTGCACCCCTCTTTTTTCAAAATATTATAGTGTATCTTAATTTTTATGTTGTTTTTTAAAGTACCGGGTTGGAACGAGCAGAAAAAGAGTCAGGGATCGTAAAATAAAATATTTTAAGGATTAGTAAAAAGAAAATAGTTACAATTAGAAGCGTTTAAATAAATTAAGGGCGTAAAATATGATGTGTGCGATCATACCTGCACTAGTGGACATGATCCATCAAAACTCCGCAGTTAAAGGTGCTTGGTCATGAGTACTACTAGGATAGATGACATCCTGGGATGTCCTTGTGTTGCACACCTCTTTTTTCAAAATTTTATACTTTATCTCAATTGTTGGTGCCGTTTTTAAAGAACCAGGGTGAAACATGAGGGAAAGGAGTCGAGGATCGTAAAATTAAATATTTTAAGGATTAGTCGAAAAAAAATTGTTACAAGGATAAACATTTAAATAAATTAAGGGCATAAGACATTATGGTTGTGATCATAGCAATACTAATGCATCAGATCTCATCGAAACTTCGCAGTTAAGAGTGCTTTGTCGAGGGTAGTACTAAGATTGGTGACTTGCAACTATTTTTTCGAAATGTTATATTTTGTCTTAATTTTGGTGTTATTGTTTTAAGAGTGTTGGTAGTGGAACGTGCGGGAAAAAAGATGGGGATCATAAAACTAAATATTTTAAGGATTAGTAGGAAGAAATGGTTATAGCGAGAAGCGTTTAGACAAAATAAGGTCGCAAGACATGATGGATGTGATCATAGCAGCACCAATGTACCAGATCTAATCAGAACTCTGTAGTTAAGTATGCTTGGGCGAGAGTAGTACTATAATGAGTGATCTACCGGTAACTCTTTGCAATGTACCATTCTTTTATCGAAATTTTATTCGTTATCATAATTTTTTTGTTTTTTTTTAAAAAAACTATGAGAATGAGCGGGAAAAGAGTCAGGGTTCATAAAATTAAATATGTTAAGGTTTTTTCGAAAAAAAATGGTTACACGGATAAACGTTTAAATAAATTAATCATGCATGAAATGATGGGTGCGATCATACCGACACAAGGCATCGGATCCCATTAGAACTCTGTCGTCAAGAATGCTTGGATGAGAGTAGTACTAGGATGGGGAAACCTCTTGGGAAGTCTTAGTGTTCTACCCCTATTTTTTTTTGAAATTTTATAATTTATATTAATTTTTGCTATTGTTTTTTTTAAAGAGTTGGGGTGGAACAAAAGGGAAAAGGGTCAGGTGGAAAGAGTGGGAAATGGGATGAAGAAATTAAATATTTTAAAGATTAAAAGGAAGAAAATGGTTACATGGAGAAACACTTAAATAAATTAAGGGCACAATACAGGATGGGAGAGATTATACTAGCACTAATGCACCAAATCCCATCAGAACTCCTTAGCCAAATGTGTTGCACCCCTCTTTTTTCAAAAATTTATAATTTATCTTAATTTTTGTTTTTTTATAAAGAACTGCGGTGGAACGAGCGGGAAAAAAGTCAAGGATCATAAAATTAAATATTTTAAGGATTAGTATGAAGAAAATGGTTTTGTGGAGTAGCGTTTAAATAAATTAAGGGTGCAAGATATGATGGGTGTAATAATACCAGTAGTAATGCACCGAATCCCATCAGAACTCCGTAGTGAAGCGTGCTTGGGAGAGGGTAGTACTAGGATTGGTGATCTCTATTGAAGTCTTCGTGTTGCACACCTTTTTCCACAAAAATTTATGCTTTATCTTAATTTTGGTATTGTTTTAATTAAAAGAGCCAGGGTGGAACGAGCAGTAAAAGTTTAGGGGATTGCAAACTTAAATATTTTAAGTATTAGTTGGAAGAAAATGGTTACATGGAGAAGCGTTTAAATAAATTAAGGGCGCAAGACATGGTTGGTATGATCATACTAAAAGTAATGTATCGGATCCCATCAAAAATTTGTAGTGAAGCATGGTTGGGCGATAGCAATTCTAGGATGGTTAACCTTTCAGAAAGTTTTTGTAATGCTCCCCTCTTTTTTTGATACATTATAAATTATCTTTATTATTTTGTGGTTTTTTTAAAGAGTTCGATGGAAGGAGCTAGAAAAGAGGTAGGGATTGCAAAATTAAATATTTAATGGATTAGTCGGAAGAAAATGGTTACATAGGGAAGTGTTTAAATAAATTAAAGGCGCATGACATGATGTGTATGATTATATAGCACTAAGGCATCAGATCCCATCAGAACTTCGCAGTAAAGCGTGCTTGGGCAAGAGTAGTACTAGGAGGAGTGACCATTCGGGAAGTCCTCATATTGCACCCCTCTTTTTTCGAAAATTTATATTTTATCTTAATTTTTGGTGTTTTTTTTTAAAAAGAGTATGGTTGGATCGAGCATAAAGAGTGATGTGTATCGCAAAATTAAATACTTTAAGGATTTGTCAGAAGAAAATGTTTACATGGGGAAGCACTTAAATAAATTAAGGGTGCAAGACATGATGGGTGTGATCATACCAAAACTAATGAACCGGATCTCATCAGAACTCCGTAGTTAAGCGTTCTTAGGCTAGAGTACTACTAGGATGTTCTCCCGTGAAGTCATCGTAATGTACAATTTTCTTTTGAAATTTTATACTTGATCTTAATTTTTTGCGGTTTTTAAAAGAGTTGGACTGGAACGAGCGGGAAATGAGTCGAGGATCGCAAAATTAAATATTTTAAGGATTATTTGGAAGAAAATGTTTACATGGAGAAGCGTTTAAATAAATTAAGGATGTAAAACATTATGGGTGCGATCATAACAACACTAATACACCGGATTTTATCAAAACTACGTAGTGAAGCTTGCTTGGCCAATAGAAATACTAAGATGGGTGACCTCCCTCTTTTTTCAAAATTTTATGCTTTATCTTAATTTTTTGTGTTGTTTTATTTAAAAAGTCAGGGTAGAAGGAGAGGAAAAGAGTCGAGGATCGCAAAATTAAATATTTTAAGGATTAGCTGAAAGAAAATAGTTAAATAGAGAAGCGTTTAAATAATTAAGGGTGCAAGACATGATGCGTGCGATCATACCAGTACTAAATCACCAGATCTCATTAGAACTCCGCAGTTAAGGGTGCTTAGGCGAGAGTAGTATTAAGATGGGTGACCTTCCGGAAAGTCCTCGTAATGCACCCCACTTTTTTTGATACTATATACTTTATCTTCATTTTTTGTGTTGTTTTTTAAGGAGATGGGCTGGAACAAGTAGGAAAAGTGTCAAGGATCGCAAAATTAAATATTTTAAGGATTAGTCAGAAGAAAATGGTTACTTTGGGAAGCGTTTAAATGAATTAAGGGTGCATGATAGGATGGGTGTAATCATACCAGCACTAAGGTATCGGATCCCATCAGAACTTCGCAGTGAAGCGTGCTTGGGTGAGAGTGGTACTTGTATGAGTGACCTTTTGGGAAGTTCTTGCATTGCACCATTTTTTTTGAAAATTTATTTTTAAACTTAATTTTTTGTGTTGTTTTTAAAGAATCGGGGCGGAACTAGCTGGAAAATAGCCAGGAATCTCAAAATTAAATACTTTATGGATTAGTCGGAAGAAAATGGTTATAGAGAAAAGTGTTTAAATAAATTAAGGGTGCAATATATGATTGGTTCGATCATATTATCACTAATGCAATGGTTCTCATCAGATCTTCGCAATTAAGCGTGATTGGGCGAGAGTAGTACTAGTATGGGTTACAACTAGGGATGTTCTCGTGTTGCACCCCTATTTTTTCAAAATTTTATACTTTATCTTAATTTTTATTGGTATTTTTAAAAGTGTCGAGGTTGAACGAGTGAGAAAAGAGCTCGGGATCGCAAAATGAAATATTTTAAAGATTAGATGAAATAATTACATGGAGAAGCGTTTAAATAAATTATGGGCGCAAGACATGATGTGTGTGATCATACCAGCACTAATTCACCAGATCTCATCAGAACTCCACAGTTAAGCGTGCTTGGGTGGGCGTAGTACTATGATGGGTTATCTCCTAGGAATTCCTCGTGTTGTACCCTTCTTCATAATTTTATAGTTTATCTTAATTTTTGGTGTTATTATTTTAAAAAAGCCAGGGTGAAAGGAGCAGGAAAAGAATCAGGGATCGTAAAATTAAATATTTTAAGGATTATTTGGAAGAAAATGTTTACATGGAGAAGCGTTTAAATAAATTAAGGATGTAAAACATTATGGGTGCGATCATAACAACACTAATACACCGGATTTTATCAGAACTACGTAGTGAAGCTTGCTTGGCCAATAGAAATACTAAGATGGGTGACCTCCCTCTTTTTTCAAAATTTTATGCTTTATCTTAATTTTTTGTGTTGTTTTATTTAAAAAGTCAGGGTATAAGGAGAGGAAAAGAGTCGAGGATCGCAAAATTAAATATTTTAAGGATTATATGAAAGAAAATGTTTAAATAGAGAAGCGTTTAAATAATTAAGGGTGCAAGACATGATGCGTGCGATCATACCAGTACTAAATCACCAGATCTCATTAGAACTCCGTAGTTAAGGGTGCTTGGGCGAGAGTAGTATTAAGATGGGTGACCTTCCGGAAAGTCCTCGTAATGCACCCCACTTTTTTTGATACTATATACTTTATCTTCATTTTTTGTGTTGTTTTTTAAGGAGATGGGCTGGAACAAGTAGGAAAAGTGTCAAGGATCGCAAAATTAAATATTTTAAGGATTAGTCGGAAGAAAATGGTTACTTAGGGAAGCGTTTAAATGAATTAAGGGTGCATGATAGGATGGGTGTAATCATACCAGCACTGAGGTATCGGATCCCATCAGAACTTCGCAGTGAAGCATGCTTGGGTGAGAGTGGTACTTGTATGAGTGACCTTTTGGGAAGTTCTTGCATTGCACCCTTTTTTTTGAAAATTTATTTTTAAACTTAATTTTTTGTGTTGTTTTTAAAGAGTCGGGGCGGAACTAGTTGGAAAATAGCCAGGAATCTCAAAATTAAATACTTTATGGATTAGTCGGAAGAAAATGGTTATATAGAAAAGTGTTTAAATAAATTAAGGGTGCAATATATGATTGGTTCGATCATATTATCACTAATGCAATGGTTCTCATTAGATCTTCGCAATTAAGCGTGATTGGGCGAGAGTAGTACTAGTATGGGTTACAACTAGGGATGTTCTCGTGTTGCACCCCTATTTTTTTGAAATTTTATACTTTATCTTAATTTTTGTTGGTATTTTTAAAAGAGTCGAGGTTGAACGAGTGAGAAAAGAGCTCGGGATCGCAAAATGAAATATTTTAAAGATTAGATGAAATAATTACATGGAGAAGCGTTTAAATAAATTATGGGCGCAAGACATGATGTGTGTGATCATACCAGCACTAATTCACCAGATCTCATCAGAACTCCACAGTTAAGCATGCTTGGGTGTGAGTAGTACTATGATGGGTTATCTCCTAGGAATTCCTCGTGTTGTACCCTTTTTTTCATATTTTTATAGTTTATCTTAATTTTTTGTGTTATTTTTTTAAAAGAGCCAGGGTGAAAGGAGCAGGAAAAGAATCAGGGATCGTAAAATTAAATATTTTAAGGTTTAGTCGGAAGAAAATGGTCACATGAGAATGTTTAAATAAAGTAAGGGCCCAAGACATGATGGTTAGATCATACCAGTACTAATGGAACGGATCCCATCAGAAGTCCACAGTGAAGTGTGATTGGGTGAGAGTAGTAATAGGATTGGTGACCTCCTGGGAAGTCCTCATGTTGCACCCCTTTTACTTGAAAATTTATACTTTATCTTAATTTTTGGTTTTTTAATAGTCTTGGATGAACAAGAGGGAAAGGAGTCGGGGATAATAAAATTAAATATTTTAAGGATTAGTCAGAAGAAAATGGTTACATGGAGAAACGTTTAAATAAATTATGGGTGCAAGACATGATGGGTGCGATCATACCAAGACTAATTCACCGGATCTCATTAGAACATCGTAGTTAAGTGTGCTTGGGCGAGAGTAGTACTAGGATGGGTGATCTTCCGGAAAGTCTTCGTAATGTACCCCTCTTTTATGGATATTTTATACTTTATCTTAATTTTTTGTGTTGTTTTTTTTAAAGAGTTGTGCTTGAACGGGTGGAAAAAAGAGCCAGGGATCGTAAAATTAAATATTCTAAGGATTAGTTGAAAACAAATGGTTGCGTGGGGAACCTCTTAAATAAATTAAGGGTACATGACATGATGGGTGCGATCATACCAGAACTAATGCATTGGATCTCATCAGAAGTAGGCAATTAAGCGTTCTTGGGCAAGAGTAGTACTACAATAGATGATCTCTCGGGATGTTCTCGTCTAGCACCACTCTTTCTTTAAAAAAATTATTATTTATCCTATTTTGTGCGTTGTTTTTTTTAGATTTGGGGTGGAACAAGTGGGAAAAGACCAGTAATCAAAAAATTAAATACTTTAAGGATTATTAAGAAGAAAATGGTTACATAGAGAAGTGTTTAAATAAATTAAGGGCACATGACTTGATGAGTGCGATAATACTAGCACTAGTGCAATGAATCTCATCAGAACTCTACAGGTAAACGTGTTTCTGCTAGATTAGTACTAGGATAAGTGACCTCTCGAGAAGTACTCGTGCTGCACCACTCTTTATTTGAAATTTTATAGTATATCCTAATTTTTGGTTTTTTTTAAAGAGTCAGAGTGGAATAAGTGGGAAAGAGTCGGGGATCAAAAAATTAAATACTTTAACGACTAGTCGGAAGACAATTGTTATATGGAGAAGTGTTGAAATAAATTAAGGATGCAAGACAAGATGGAAGCAATCATACCAACACTAGTGCATCGAATCTCATCAGAACTACGCAATTAAGTGTGTTTGGGAGAGAGTAGTTCTAAGATGGGTGGCCTCACGGAAAGTCTTCGTGTTAAAGCCCTCTTTTTCGAAATTTTATACTTTATATTAGTTTTTGGTGTTGTTCTTTTGAAAGAGTCGGGATGGAGCCAGCGGGAAAAGATCTGGGGATTACAAAGTTAAATACTTTGAGGATTAGTCGGAAGAAAATGCTTCTGTGGAGAAGCGTTTAAATAAATTCAGGGTGCAATACATGATGGATGCGATCATACCACCACTAAAGCATTGGATCTCATCAAAACTACACAATTAAGCTTGCTTGGGTAAGAATAGTACTAGTTTGGGTGGCATCCAAGAAAGGCCTCATGTTGCACCCCTCTTTTTTCGATTTTTTTTTTATTTTATCTTAATTTTTGGTGTTGTTTTTTAAAAAGATGGGGGTGGAACGAGCTGTAAAAGTACATCAAAAATTAAGATAAAGTATAAGACTTCGAAAAAAGTGGAGTGTAAAACAAGGACCACCCGGTAGGCCACCCATCCTAATACTGCTCTCCCCAAGCACTCTTCACTACGGAGTTTTAACGGGATCCGGTACATTAGTACTTGTATTATTGCACCCATCACATCTTACACCCTTAATTTATTTAAATGTTTCTCCATGTAACCATTTTCTTTCGACTAATCCTTCAAATATTTAATTTTGTGAACCACGACTCTTTTCCCGCTCATTCCACCCAGCTCCTTAAAGAAAACAAAAAATTAAGATAAAGTATAAATTTTTGAAAAAAACGGGGTGCATTACGAGGATTTTTCGGGAGATCACGTATCCTAGTACAACTCTCTCCCGTGTACGCTTAACTATGGAGTTCTGATGAGATCTGGTAGATTAATGCTGGTACGATAACACTCATCATGTCTTGAACCCTAAATTTATTTAAACTCTTATCCATGTAACCATTTTCTTTTGAATAATCCTTAAAATATTTCATTTTGCAATCCCCGACTCTTTTCTTGCTCGTTCTACCCCATCTCTTTAAAAAAACACCAAAAATTAAGATAAAATAAAAAATTTTGGAAAAAGAGGGGTGCAACACGAGGACTTTCATGGAGCAATCGGTAAAAGATTTAAGAATAAAAAAATTAAATACTTTAAGGATTTGTCTGAAGAAAATGGTTACATGGGGAACGATTTAAATAAATTAAGGGCACATGACATGATGGGTGTGATCATACTATCACTAATGCACTGGATCTTATCAGAACTCTATAGTTAAGCATGCTTGGGAGAGTGTTTTTTTAAAAGAGCCAGGGAGGAACGAGCGGGAAAAGATTCGAGGATCGTAAAATTAAATACTTTAAAAATTAGTCAGACGAAAAGGGTTATATGAAAAGCGTTTAACTAAGGTAAGGGCACAAGACATGGTAGAAGCGATCATACCAACACTAATGCATTGGATCTCATTAAAACAACACAATTAAGCATGCTTGGGCGATATTATGGGTGACATCCCGAGAAGTCCTCATGGTGTACCCATCTTTATTTAAAATTTTATACTTTATCTTAATTTTTGGTGTTATTCTTATAAAGGGTCGGGGTAAACGAGCGGGAAAAGGGTAATCGATCATTAAATAAATACTATAAGGATTAGTCAGAAGAAAATGGTTACATCGAGAAGCATTTATATAAATTAAGGGGGAAGGACATAATAGGTGTGATCATACTATTAATAATGCACTGGATCTTATAAGAACTCTGAAGTAAAATGTGCTTGGGCTAGAATAGTGCTGGATGGGTGACCTCCCTGGAAGTCTTCGAGTTGCACCCCTTTTTTCAAAATTTTGTACTTTACCTAAATTTTTGGTTTTATGTTTTTAAAATATCCATGGTGGAACATGCAATAAAAGAGTCGGGGATCACAAAATTAAATATTTTAAGAAATACTCAGAAGAAAATGGTTACAATGAGAAGCATTTAAATAAATTAAGAGTATAGGAAATGATAGGTGCGATCTTACAGGCACTAATACCCGAATCTCATAACTCCGCAGTTAAGCGTGCTTGGGAGAGAGTAGTTCTCGGATGGGTGACCTCCTGATAAGTTCTCCGCAGTCGAGCGTGTTGTTTTTTTTCAGTACTTGGGTAGAACATGTGAGAAAAGAGACGGGGATCACAAAATTAAATACTCTCCGGATTAGTTCGAATAAAATTCTCATTTAGAGAAAAGTTTAAATAAATCAAAAACGCAAGAGATGATGGGTGCGATCGTACCAAAAGTAATGCACTGAATCCCATCATAACTACGCTTGTAAGAATTCTTGGGCGAGAGTAGTACTGGGATTGGTAACCTTTGGGGAAATCCTCATGTTGTACCTTTTTTAAAAAAAAATTATACTTTACCTGAATTTTTGGGGTTGTTTTTTTAAAAGAGTCGGGATGGAACGAGTGAGAAAAGAACCCGATATCAAAAACTTATATATTTTAAGGATTAGTCAAAAGAAAATGGTTACATGGTGAATAATTTAAATAAATGAAGGGCTCAAGACATGATGGGTGCGATCATACCAGCAGTAATAAAATGGATCCTATAAAAACTCCATTGTTAAGGATGGTTGGGCGAGAGTACTACTATTTTGGGTGACCTCCTGGGAAGTCCCCGTGTTGTACCCCCCAATTTTTCAAAATTTTATGCTTTATCTTAATTTTTAGTTTTTTTTTTTATTTTACATAATCGGGGTGGAACAAGCGTGTAC